GGTGCAAAACCAATGACAGGATATCGACCATCTCGCGGTCACCACCTTCTCTGCGGTGCATGTGACCTTGCAAGTTGCGGAAGGCCTCTGGCATCTCAATGAACGGTGCTCCGTTGCGCAAGGCACCGGGTTTACGTTGGATTACAGCGAGATAGTGGCACCAGTCGTAGATAACACGACCAGTTTTGCGGTGTGATCGATCTATGATGCGCTCATGTGTGCAAACGGTCTTCCCCTCGGCCACTATGACCAGCCGTTCTGGATAGACATGCAAGCTGATGCACCGGTTGGCAAAGCTCGCGGGCACGCTGTAGCGATTACGCTCAAAGGTGATCAGACATGTTGGCGACACACGCTTACTGTGCTCCACAAAACCGTCGAAGGCGGGTGGTAGTGCCATCAACATGGGCTTCTCTGCTTCCCTGATGTCAGCAATAGTGCCGGGCAGATCCCGGTGCGGTGTCTCAATCCAAAGGGCGATGCAGCGGTCTTCCAGCCACTGGTTCAGCTCATCAAGATCCTTGAAGACAGGCATGACCTGCCACATGCGTTGCGCGCATCTTGGACGTTCTTCTCGACTTGGCCCTTCTCCCAACCTGCCGCTGGATTGCAGAACTCGGGTTCAAAAACATAGTGACTGGCCATCGCCTTAAACCGGGCGTTGATGTCACGCTGCTTGCCACGGCCAACGCGATCAACAGCAGTTGTCATGTTATCATAGATCCCGCGTCCAGGCACACCGCCAAAAACGCGGAACGCATGCCAATGGGCATCGAACAGCATCTCATGCGTTTGCAATGGGTAGGCGCACACTAAGAAAGCTCGGCTGTGCGAGAGCTTCGTATGGGCCGCCTGCAGCTTGACCCGTTCACCGCCGATAGTGGCCCAGTCTTCGCTCCAATCAAACTGGAACGCTTCGCCGGGTTGGAACACCAGCGGTACAAACGTGCCGCGCCCAGTTGTTTGCTCGGCACGATGCCGGTCGTCACGCCAGGCACGGGCAAAAGCGGCCACGCGCGCATAGGATCCTGCATAGCCCAACTTCACCAAATCGGCGTGCATCTGCTTCACAGTACGCCGCTCTTTGCGCGATTTGCGTGTCTGAGCCAACAACCATGCAGACAAACGATCCGCATACGGATCAAGATTACTCGGTCGTTTGGGCACCTTGAACTTCGGCTCAACAGCGCCCTCGCGCAGGTACTTCTTGATGGTATTGCGAGACAAACCAGTACGGCGGGCTATCTCGCGAATGGGCATCCCTTCACGTAATGCCCAACGTCGAATGACACTTAAAAATCCCATGTCGATCTCTCCATATCTCCCCCAAACAAAAGCGTCAGGGTAGCGTCGTTACATGGGTCAGTTCTCAGTGAAAATTTATGGGGCTACCGGGTCAGTTCTCAGCGCAAATCAACAGCGGGTGGTTCGATCGTGCTGTCGGTCGGCGCCGGTGGCCTCTGGCTCGCATTTGATCCACTTCGGTTTCCGGTCGCAGTCTCGGCAGCCCTGCTGCTCTCGTGGCCATTTCTGGTCGACGGCATCAATGCCTTTGCTGACAAGGTTTTCCAAAAGGGTGCGCTTGCCGCCGGTGCACGAGATCTGGCTCCAGCCGCTCTTACCGCAATCGGCCGCGCCGGCGACATTGTCATCGACAAAACAGCCCTGATGTCGGGACCGGACCTGATGGTGACCAATGTGATGGCATTCGACAACGAGCCAAGAACCCTGCTTGCAGTCGCGGCTTCCGCAGAGGCGCAATCAAGCCATCCGGTTGCCTTGGCCTTGCGTCAACTCGCTAGCCAGTGGCGCGTGCCTCTGAAGACACCCGACCGTTTCGAACCGACACACGGAATTGGCGTGGTTGCCTCCTCTGGTGGCCAGACCGTCGCGATTGGCACGACGGAACTATTGAAGCAGCTCAAGATCGACAGTTTTACGGCCGATGCCATTGCAAGGTCGCTCGAGGCAGATGGCAAAACCGTTTTGCGGGTCGCGGTCGGCGGGCGTGTGGTCGGTGTCCTCGGGCTTGAAGGCACCCTCAGGCAAGATGCAGGTGCCGCCGGGATGGCCATGCGTGCCGAAGGTTTGACACCCTGGCTCTTCACCAATGACGGCTCCAAAACGCGCATGGCACTTGCTGATATGCTCGGGCTTGAATGTCCGGATGAAACGCAGACCGCGACAACGGCCCAGGCAGCTTCCGCACTGGTTTCCGGCAACGGCACATCGCTGTTTCTGACCCTGTCGCAGGACCGAAGCTCTCTGGAGCTCTACGCCCGCACATCAAAGGCCCCGAATTCGCCCGACGAACCGAATCCGATTGCCGTCAGCAATACAGACGAAATCGGGGCGTTTCCCGCGCTCAAGGCCCTCGCGATGCGCTGAGAGGTGCTCGCAGGTCGCGCCAGAAAACTGATTGCTGACTTGGGTGCTTGGCGGCCTGTGCGGAGCGTCAACCGTGGTGCCGGTCCACGCGACCCCGCTGCTGTTTGGTGTTTGTCTGGTAATCCTCCTGGGCTTTGCGCGTGTCGGCATTGGAGGTCGCCAAATCGGCCGGCTTTGAACCAAAGAGTCTCATATGATGAGACCATATTGAACAGACATTGCCTTTACAGCGCCCGAAGCGTGGTGTTTATCCTGCCTTATATCTTGAAAAGATTGAGGGAAGAGGCGCGATGAGCGACAAGAAACAGCCGAAGCTGCGGTCAGCGGCGTGGTTCGACAATCCGGATAATCCCGGTATGACAGCGCTTTACATCGAGCGTTACCTCAATTTCGGCATTACCCGGGAAGAACTGCAATCCGGCAAGCCGATCATCGGCATCGCCCAGACCGGGTCGGACCTCTCGCCCTGCAACCGACACCACCTGGAACTGGCAAAGCGGGTCCGGGAAGGCATCCGCGACCAAGGCGGCATTGCTTTCGAATTTCCCGTTCATCCGATTCAGGAAACGGGCAAGCGTCCAACGGCGGCGCTCGACCGGAATCTGGCCTATCTGGGCCTGGTTGAACTTCTTTATGGCTATCCGATTGACGGCGTCGTTCTGACAATCGGCTGCGACAAGACCACACCGGCCTGCCTGATGGCGGCAGCGACCGTGAACGTCCCGGCAATCGCACTTTCCGTCGGTCCGATGCTGAACGGCTGGTACAAGGGCGAGCGGACAGGGTCAGGCACAATCGTCTGGAAAGCCCGCCAGATGATGGCAGCCGGGGAAATCGACTATGCCGGGTTCATGGACCTTGTCGCTTCAGCGGCTCCTTCGGTGGGCTACTGCAACACGATGGGCACCGCAACGACAATGAATTCTCTTGCGGAAGCGCTCGGCATGCAATTGCCAGGAGCCGCCGCGATACCCGCGCCCTACCGCGAACGCGGCGCGATTTCATACGAAACCGGCAAACGCATCGTCGACATGGTTCACGAGGACCAGAAACCCTCAGATATCATGACACGGGAAGCGTTTGAAAACGCCATTGTGATCAACTCGGCGATCGGCGGATCCACCAATGCCCCGATCCACCTGAACGGTGTTGCCCGCCATGTCGGTGTCGAACTGGACAATGACGACTGGCAGAAAGTTGGTCACGATGTGCCGCTTCTGGTCAACCTGCAGCCAGCCGGTGAGTATCTCGGCGAAGACTATTTTCATGCAGGCGGCGTACCGGCTGTCGTTGCCGAGGTGCTGCGCCACGGCAGGCTTCCCCATCCCGATGCGGTCACCGCGAACGGCAAAACAATCGCCGAGAATCAGAGGGCATCGTCACCGACCTTCCCGACGTGATCAAATCATTCGATGCCCCGATGATGGACCGGGCCGGGTTCATCAATCTCAAGGGCAATCTGTTCGACAGTGCCATAATGAAGACCAGCGTGATTTCCAAGGACTTCCGGAGCCGCTATCTTTCCAATCCGGATGATCCTGAAGCCTTCGAGGGTCGCGCCATCGTCTTTGAAGGGCCGGAGGACTATCACCACAGGCTTGACGATCCGGACCTGGAGATCGACGAGAACTGCATGCTCTTCATTCGCGGCACCGGACCGGTCGGCTATCCCGGTGGGGCGGAGGTCGTCAACATGCAGCCACCTGCAGCCCTGATCAAGCGTGGCATCACGGAGCTTCCCTGCATTGGCGACGGCCGCCAGTCCGGCACGTCCGGATCACCGTCCATCCTGAATGCGTCGCCCGAAGCGGCGGCGATGGGTGGTCTTGCATTGCTCAAGACCGGTGACCGGGTGCGCATCGACCTCAACAAGGGAACCGCCGATATCCTGATTTCGGACGAGGAGCTGGCACAGCGCCGCAAGGACCTTGAGGCATCGGGCGGTTTCCAGGTTGCCGACAGCCAAACGCCGTGGCAGGAGATCCAGCGCGGCATGGTTGGCCAGTTCGACAAGGGCATGGTGCTGGAACCGGCGGTCAAGTACCAGGACGTTGCTCACACACGAGGGTTGCCAAGGGACAATCACTAGAGAGTGTTTCTTGACCCGGACGACCAGAGCGCCGGTTGGCAACGCCTATTGCCGCCTGACGGGGCAAGTGAAATTTGCCACTTGACGATTACGTAAAGGTCATACATCAAGAAGGCAACGAACGACAGCTGCCAGATTCAGATAGGAGACAACTCATGTCCTTGGAACAGCTCACGGAAGGTGTCCGCGAAAAAGTCGCCAGCGGTGGAATTGAAGAAAGCGTCAAGTTCGACATGGGCGGTGACGGCGTCATTTTTCTTCAGGGCTCGGATGTCAGCAATGATGATGGTGATGCCGATTGCACGATCAAGATTTCTGCGGAAGATCTCGCCGATCTCCTGTCGGGCGAGTTGAACCCGACAAGCGCTTTCATGGGTGGCAAGATGCAGGTCGAAGGCGACATGAGTGTCGCGATGAAGCTCGGCAGCATCGTCTGATATTTGGGGGAAAACCCAATCCCACGCCGGTCCGTTGGGCCGGCTTTTTTTGTCGTACGCCTTGATGGACCAAGTGCTCCGGTATTCTACCAGAGCTCGAGTTCACCCTTCTGCTTGAGAGATTCAAACCATTCGTCGGGATTCATGGCGATCCTGGCATGCTTGACCATGGCTTCGTTCATGTCAGCCAGTCCGGTCGTGTCCGGCCACTTTTCCGGCTGCCAGATGTTTGACCGGAAAACGCATTTGGGGCAGTGCATGAAGGCGCTCTTGACATGAATCACCAGTGCGAGCTTCGGTTCGCGCCCGTTGATTGCCATCGACGCAATCAGATCGCGGTCCCTGACGATCCTTGCTTCCCCGCGAATTCGAAGCGTTTCACCTCTGCCCGGTATCATGAATAGAACGCCGACCCTCGGGTCCTTCAGGACATTGTGGAACGTATCCAAACGCCTGTTTCCGGGCCTGTCGGGGATCGCCAGCGTGGTTTCATCAAGGACCTTCACAAATCCGGCGGGATCACCTCTCGGGGACACATCGAGATATCCATCCGGATTTGCCGTCGCAAGAAAGCAGAACGGCGCGTGTGAAATGAAGTCCCGGCAGATGGAGTCCAGCGCGGGAATCTCCTTGTGAATGATCTGCGGCAGCGGTTCGCCCGTGATTTCCTCAAGGTCCTCGGCGCGGGTCACGATATCGGAAAAACCGGAAAAGGGGTCGCTGTCGTTCGTCATCGGAGGCTCCTGTCATGCCGAAAAGAATGAACGGCAATTCCCGTCTGTCAACCAGAGCATCTCGATGATCAAAACCAGAAACGGCCGGACACCGCCCGGCCGTCTGTGCGTTTTGGTGCCCCGTATCCTATCGCGTGATGATCTCCGGCCCCATGAAGTAATAGGGCAGGAACGTCGAAAGCGCCGGAACATAGGTCACGATGACGAGGAACAGCAGAAGCACCAGCACAAAGGGCGCGGCTGCCTTTACCACCTGAACCAGACTCATGCCGGTAATCCCTGATGTCACGAACAGGTTCAGTCCGATCGGCGGCGTGATCATGCCGATTTCCATATTCACCACCATCAGGATACCGAGATGGATCGGATCAACGCCGAGCTCCAGTCCAATCGGAAAGACGACCGGAGCCACGATCAGCAACAGGCCGGACGGTTCCATGAACTGTCCGCCAATCAGCAGGATGATGTTGACCGCCAGCAGGAAGGTGAACCAGTTGAACCCGGCCTCGACCATCCAGTCAGTGATCACCTGCGGTATCTGCTCGGCGGTAAGTGTGTGAGCAAACAGGAGCGCGTTGACGATGATGAACATCAACATGATGGTCGTCTTCGACGAATCCGTCAGTAACTTCTTGGTGTCCTTGTGGACCATGGCCGGGAAGAACTTCCAGGCAATGAGTCCGAGATTGCGGCCCCAGACCTTGCCGCCTGCACCATAGGCAGCCGGCAGCGCAGCAGGGCTAAGACCGCCCCTGAGCAACGGGTAGGCGACCAGGGCAGCAATCAGCACGATGATGCTGTCGAGACCGAAGAAGGCACGCTCGGTCGCAAGTTTTGCAATGGCGGACCAGGTGAGCATGGCAACGAACGCGTAGGTAATTGCCTTGAATCCGGTCAAGGCAAGCGGACTGTCGCCGTCATTGATCCAGCCGATCCCGGAAAGCGGACCCATGTCCCGATAGACAAAAAGCGCGATCAATCCGGCATAAACGGCAGCCACGGCAGCAGCCTCGGTCGGTGTGAAGATACCCAGATAAATTCCACCGAGGATGATGACCATCAGGAAGAGGCCGACAGCTGCTTGAGACAATGAGCTCCAAAGCTCCTTGGATCCCGCCCATGGCTGCGCCGGCAATTTTTTTATCCGGGCCATGATGTAGATCGCCGTCATCAGCATCAGGCCGGCAATGAGACCGGGACTGACACCTGCAAAGAACATTCTGCCGACAGAAACGTTCGTTGCGGCCGCATAGACCACCATCACAATCGACGGCGGGATCAAAATGCCGAGCGTGCCCGCATTGGCGATGACGCCGGCAGCAAATTCCTTCGTGTAGCCGGCCTGACGCATGCCGGCGATGGCGATTGTGCCAATAGCGACAACGGTGGCCGGTGACGAACCGGAGAGCGCTGCAAAGAGCATGCAGGCAAAGACAGCCGCAATGGCTAGGCCTCCGCGAATCCACCCGACAGCGTCGATCGAAAAGCGAATGATCCGCCTTGCAACACCGCCGGTCGACATGAAGCTGGAGGCCAGGATGAAGAACGGGATCGCCAGCAACGTGAAGTTCTGCGAGGCATTGAACAGCTGCACGGCAACCGAACTCATCGAATCGTGGCTGAAGAGCGCAATGTAGAGCACGGCGGACAGGCCGAGCGAAATGGCGATCGGTACCCCGAGGAACAGGAAGCCGAACAGGAAAATGAAGAGAAATGCGGTTTCCATCGGGCCCTAGTCCTTCAGCACGTCTTTGTTTTCCGCCACCAGGTCTTCTGCCTCGTGGGCAGCGATGATGGCGTCTTTTTTACCCATGAGGATGAGCACGAATGCCTGCGCAGCCCGGAAGGCCAGCAACAGGAGACCAACCGGCAGGATGACGTAGGGTATCCAGCGCGGAACACGTTCCTTGACGTCGAACCATTCCTGAATGAAGACCGGCCATTTCAGGTCTTCCATGCCGATGGGCAACTTGTAGAACTTTGCGACATAAGCGAACGCACCACCCGACGAGCCTTTGTTTTCAAGCCCGAACAAGGCCCCGAACCAGGTCGCGTCAAACAGAAGCAGGGCATAAAGTACCGTCAACGCCGCGCCGAGCAGAGCAGCCAGCCTGAACATCGGTTTCGGCAACAGGTTGATCACCGCATCAACCCCGAGATGCGCACCGATCTTGATGCCGTAGCTCATGCCGAACAGGATCAGCCAGGCGAACAGGACACGGGTGAATTCGAGCGCTCCGGTCCAGCCTGAATTGAAGCCATAGCGGGCGACCACCTGGCTGAAGGTTACGATGGTCATCAACGCCAGAATCAAGGCGAGGATGTTTTCCTCCAAGGAATCGACAAACCGTCCGACACGGGACATGACAGCCTCCCCAATGCCGGCGCGCTGCCGCACCGGCCTTGCGCGCCAGAAGCGCGCCGCATGAAATTTTGATATTGATTGCGTCAGAAGATGGGCTCGCCAAGCGAGCCCATCCCGTCAGACCACGAAGTCTTAGCTTGCCTTGTTTGAAGAGACGGCCGCGTCGATGACATCCTGACCGATGTCGTCGCGGAACTGGTCCCAAACCGGCTTCATGGTGTTGACCCATTCATCACGCTGCTCAGGTGTCAGCTGGCGAACAACACCCTTGTTTTCGATGATCTTCTGCTTGTTGGCTTCGTTGATCTCCGCTGCGCGCGCGTTGTACTCGTCGGAGACTTCGTTGAAGATCGTCAGGAACTGGTCACGGGTATCCGCTTCCAGGCTGTCCAGCCATTCCTGGGAGGTCACGGCCAGGTAGGTCAGCAGCTGGTGGTTGGTTTCCGTGGTGCCGTCCTGAACTTCGAAGAACTTCTTGGTGTAGATGTTGGACCAGGTGTTTTCCTGCCCGTCGACAACTCCGGTCTGCAGCGCGCCGTAGACTTCCTTGAAGGCCAGTTTCTGCGCATTTGCACCCATGGCTTCGATCATGGCGACCGCCACGTCGGACGTTTGCACGCGGAACTTCAGACCCTTGGCGTCGCTTGGAACCAGAAGCGGCTTGTTGGCGGAGAACTGCTTCAGACCGTTGAAGACATAACCAAGACCGACAAAACCGTAGTCGGACATGGCGCCCAGAAGGTCCTGACCCTTTTCGCCCTTGGTGAAGGTGGTCACAGCGTCCATGTTGGTGAACAGGAACGGCAGGTCGAAGACGCGGTATTTCAGCGTGTAGGACTCGAATTTCGACAGGGACGGTGCTGCAAGCTGAACATCGCCAAGAAGCAGGGCTTCCATCACCTTGTTGTCGTCAAACAGCTGTGAAGACGGGAACACCTGCATGCAGGCCTTGCCATCCATCTCGGTGTTGATCCGGTTGGCAAGCGCTGTTGCCATCTCACCTTTCGGGTGACCCTGGGCCGAAACCACGTGGCTGAACTTGATGACAACTTCGCCGTCGCCGCATTCATCGGCCGCCTGGGCAGCGGATGTCATGGCAAAGGAAGCCGCAGCAGCGGCGGCGATTACAAATTTTTTCATCGGATGTCCTCCCAGACATTTTGGTAAGGCGGCCATTTGCTTGGCCGGACAGCACAGAGGCTGGTCCTGCGCTATTCAGTGTAAGGTGCCAACTTGAGTTCCTGCAAAATGACAGGATCCCGGCGGGTGCTTTCAAAAAATCCCGTCGCCGGGAAGGTCATCTTGTCGAAAATGGGTGGCACCTGACACATGCGATGCGTCCAATGTGTCGAAACCGACACATTGCTCAGCGCCAAAGAGCGCCGCTTTTCGCATCGTGGTGAATGCGATTTTCAAGTCGTGCAAGCTTTTCGGGGTTTCGGATCATGAACACCTGGTCGACCAGTCCGGACGTGTCAAATCCCAACGTCGTCGCAGTCACAATGCGCGCACCGTCGTACTCGACCAGACCTCGCAATCCGTTGATTTCAATCTCGACAGTCCGGTCTTCCGTCCACAAGCGGCTGAGGATTTTGGCGATGGATTTGGAAACGACATCCGATCCCTGGAGCGTGCGGGTGATCGCGGTGGCCTTTCCACCTCCATCCGTCCGAAGCTGAACAGAGTCCGCCAGAAGCGCCGCCAATTTGTCCGTCGATCCGGTTGCAAGCGCAGACATGAATGCCTTGAGTAGAGCACTTTGCTGGTCAGGAGTGGGAACAGACCTTGAAGAAAGCGACCGGACAAACCGGCCCGCGCGCGAGACCAGTTGACGGCATCCGGCTTCGCTCATCTGCAGCGTGTCGGCGACTTCCGGATAAGGTTTTCCGAACACTTCCCGAAGCAGATAAGCCGCCCTTTCCTTTGGCGTCAGCCTTTCCAGCAGCATGAGAAACGCCGTCGTCAACGATTGAGCCCGCTCCAGATCGGTTTCCGGATCGGAACCGGCATCGGTCTGAAGCGGCTCGGGAATCCACGGGCCGACATAGTCGACCCGTTTCCTGTGAGCAGCCTTGAGATAATCCAGGCAACGATTTGTGCAAATCGTGGTCAGAAAGGCTTCAGGATTTGAAACCGTGTTTCCGTCCACGCTCTGCCATTTGACAAAGGTATCCTGAACCGCATCCTCGGCGTCGGCCATGGAGCCGAGCATCCGATACGCCAGGCCGAGCAGACGTGGCCGCGCCTGTTCAAAGAAATCGTTTCTGGACATCATCGCCGCATCAGTGGTTCGAGACCTGTATCCGGTTCCAGAGATTGATCATCGCCACCGAAGATGTGATCGCGCTGATTTCACCGTCGGAGAAGTGGGAGCGCAGATCGGCTCTGAGAACGGAATAGTCCGTCTTCGGATCAAGGTTCGTCAAGGCTTCAGTCCAGGCCAATGCGGCCTTTTCCGCAGGCGTGAAATCCTCGACATGCCGCCAGACGGTCAGGCGCTGCAGACGTTCCTGGCTTTCGCCATCATCCAGAGCTTCCTTGTTATGCATCTTTACGCAATAGGCGCACTGATTGATCTGAGATGCCCTGAGATCCAGCAGGTGATGCAGTTTAGGATCAAGGTCGGACTTGCCGATCTCTCCGCTGGCAGCCACAAACCGCTGAAGTACCGAAGGGATGAAGTCCTGATAGTTGATTGGATTGGCAGTCGTCATTGGTGTCTTCCTGGAGAAGTTTACGGGAGTAACACTCCTTTGACGAACGGACAGTCCCTATTGTGACGAACAGGCTGAAAAAAACCGGGTAACCGTCACACAGCGTCGATCTCGTCTTTTCCAAGTCCGTGTTTACGCATCTTTTCGTAAAGTGCCTTTCGCGAAAGACCCAGATTTTCATAAGTCGGTTTGATCACGCCGCCGTTGCGCTTGAGTTCAGCTGCAATAAGCGCACGCTCGTAAGTCGCGATCTGTTCGAACAGACTGGAGCCGTTGGAAGACTGAGGATCGGATTGCTGTTCAAGCCCAAGCACGAACCGGTCGGCCACGTTTCGCAACTCCCGAACGTTACCCGGCCAATCGCGTGCCATCAGGTCGGCAAGGTAAAGCTCGCCGATGTCGGGAATTTCGCGACGGTAGCGCGCCCTGGCCTCCCATTGTTCCAGGCCAAGATCTTGGAATTGCATTGGATAGTTCTAAAAACATGGAAGTGGATTGGTCTGTGACCAGTGGCAATGGAATTGCTTTATAATGGGCCCAGAATATGGAGGACCTCAATTTGGAAGATCTGAACTTTGCCTCCTTGTGGGGGAGAAAGAGCGGATCAGGAAGCCTGGGCTGACAAGGAAGCCTTGGGCCATTGCGGGAAGAGGTCCAAGGCATGAAGGGACCGCCCAGTCTCCAAGAACATGATCCCAGGAAAATGCACAAGATACAGGGAAAAACAGAGGAACCACAGGAAAAAACACAGGGGAAACGAGGGCCAATCCAGGGAATTCCACAGAAAAAAGCAAAGGAATCATCAAGGAGTTACCAGGTAGTAGCGTTGGAACATTTCCCCAATGAAAAATGGCTCCTAATTAAAGTGACCCAGATCACAGCGGTACGTGCCGTACGGCAAAACCTAGTTTGGGCAAAGAACTCAAATGCTCCCCAACACACTGCGAAGGTTTTGCCAAGCACTCATGTCCCCAAGATTCAAGACACTTTCCCCCCGTTTCAGGGAACACAGACACTCTTGATTGGGGGATTTGAGCCCCTGCTTCTTATGGATGGTGAGTGGGAAACTACCCCTTGACCAATCCAAACCACCGATTCGACTCCAAACCAATTGGAGGGAAGCTGATACCCATCAATCTCATTTCTCGCTTTATCCACCTATCCATTTCTCTATCCATCTATCTCTGTCTCTCTCCATCTCTATATATACTGTCATCCCCCCAAGATCCACGCCCAGGCTAAAAACACTGTAAAAACCTGTATGCATCTATCTGCGACCAATTGGAGGGCACAGCTGGCGCACCTTGTGTCGTGCGAAAACCGCCAGGACGCCACAGACCTCGAGCTCAGCACCATGGCATTGGAAAAATCCCTGAGCTCATGGCTTACCCGCTCACCCCCCGAGTTCCAGAACTCGGACTTTGCAGAACTCGGGCTTTGAACGTTTGGGCTTGGGCCATTCTGGCGAAAAATTGGTGGGAACTGACGTTTGAGGGTGGGGGGGGTTTGGGGGTTTGGGGGGGGGGGTTGGGGGGGTTTGGGGGGTTTGGGGGGGTTTGGGGGGTTTGGGGGTTTGGGGGGGGGGGTTTGGGGGGGGTTTGGGGGGGGTTTGGGGGATTTGGGGAGGGAGCCCAAATAAGCCCAAATAAGCCCTTAATAAGGCCTCATTTCGGGGCTTATGTGGGCTACCATTAAAAATTCGGGCTTGAACGGCCAAGCCACTCAGGTACTGAGTTAGATTGGTCTCAAGGACCTTCAAAGGAAAGCCATCATTCTCCCAGCACCCCTTAGCAATCAATGGTGTTCGTTCGCCGGCGCGGATTCTGAACAGGAAGGGACCTAGAGTCTCCATGACCCCTAGAAAAAGGGGTCACAACCCCTTGTTTTTGGGTAATGACCCCATTTGTGAAGGGTGATGGAGACTCCAGGGAGACTTGTGATTCCCCTGGCAACTCGGTCTTCGTCCAATCATTAAGTCAGGTCGTTATTAGTTATAATCGTTGAGCTCAGCGGTCTGCCCCTTTTCTCTTTCCGGCGCGGGCTTTGATGCTCCCCGTGGGTGTATTATGGATTTGACATATGTTTTGGCTCTTGTTGGAGCATTGAATAAACTATAACCATATGACTTGAGCTTTTCCGGGGAACAAATGGGTACGTCTCAACATTGCAGCACCCTCAACTCAAAAAATGATAGTTGCTTTTAATTTTGTTTATACATATATAAGTGTCCAACATGAGGTTCCCACCAAAAAAGCGAGACACCTACGCCCACTCGTTGTTTGATGACGAGTTCCTTCTGTTTCTACCAGAAAGGGACCCCCACAAGACATTGAGCTCCTTCGGCTTCCTTTCGAAACGCTAACAGCAACCTGACATCGCCAAGGGGGAACTTGATCCAAATTTGCCCAGTCAGTTTGCCTCCCTGCCAATCAATCCGTGACTGTCGAGGGCCCTAGATCAGCTTCCATGGCCTGCGAATCAGTTGGCGTGAGGGTTGCGACATGACGAAATGCAAAGGGCAGTTCAGAACCGAGCATTTTGACCAGGGTTGTGGAATCAAGGGGTTTATCCAACCACTTCTGTGATACTTGTGGGAATCTCCCCTAAATTTTGGGGTGTTAGTCTTTGGGAAGCCCTTTTTGTTGTATCACAGAAGTGGATTCCATTTCCCACAACCCTGTTTTTGATCAAATGAAAGGGTTTTTTCAAAAAGGGAACTGCGTGTACTTTGCGGAGGCAATCCTGGTTGGTCGCGTAGGCTTCTGCGGGTAGGCTGTTGTGTCAACCCTCGCGTAGGCTTTTCGCGTAGGCGTTTGAACAAGTCATAGCTCACTCCTGTTTGCCAAGTAAAACGGAGTTCCTTTTTTTTTGCCTTCCTTCCGTTTGTTCTGCAGTCTTCGCGTAGGCTCCGCGTAGGCCCCCCGTAGGCATTCGCGTAGGCTTTCAAGGCATTTTAGAGTACGCAGACCTTTTCTAGCAGTCAGATCCTTCAACAGATGTGAATTCTCAATTGTATTGCAAAGGTGATCTTAGAGCTGGAGCTGCTAAAACTGCTCTTGTACTGAACAGTTGCGATTTTCCAGTTGGAGCTGCCAAACTGCACTTCAACTCTTGAACTGAACATCTGCTCGCCAAGGTGTCCGCGTAGGCACCTGGAAGCTGACTTGTGCTCGCGTAGGCATCCTTTGCAGCGGCGTAGGGCTTCCGCGTAGGCGTGCAAGTAGTGTATAGGCCCGGAACCACCAACAAAAAGCACTGTTCAAATCTGGATCCACCCGCCCCCTGCCCCCCCCCCGCCCCCTAAAAAGAGACTTACCTTTTAAAAACACAACTTTTCAACTTTTTGGGTAACATGTGGCTATATGTCTGTAAAAGATTAACTTCCCCAGGGCTTGGAGTTTTAAGGGGTAAGGAGACGAACCAGCTTGGGCGCGGTTTGGGGGACGCCCGAGGCGATCTTCTCGCCTGGTCCGCCCCGCTGCCGGACACCTCGCTGCCGGCGCCCGGGCATGGCACCTGGACGGCCCCGGAGAGGAGTGGGCTTGTGCATTGGCTTCCTGTTGGTGAAGAATATGTGTTATTTTCCCTGGTTGGTGAAGCATATGTTTTATTTTCCCCGGTTGGTGAAGAATATGTGTTATTTTCCCCGGTTGGTGAAGAATATGTTTTATTTTCCCCGGTTGGTGAAGAATATGTTTTGTTTTCCCCCGGTGGTTTTAAAGGGAATCTATCACTACGGGGAGTATTTCTATTTTTGGTCAAGTATTTCTTATTTTTGGACTAAAGGGACTAAAGCAAATGGAGGTTGGTGGGAGGGGGTGGCTAGGCTTCATATGGGTGTGGGGCAGAAAGAAACTAGGGAAACCCCAAAATGGTTGTGAATGGAAACCCTGCCACCAACATGGAAGTGCACAAACACTCTTTCCAAGAGGAAAGCTGTCTTTCTACAGGCGTCTGTGCACTTCCATGTTAGTTGGTGGAAGGGTAGCGTTTCTGGCTTGAAACCACATGAAAGGACCGCATGTCTAATTACAGTTGTTTGGGGGGAAGCCACAGAAGCTCGATCAAACTTCCTCTCCAACAGCTCCTTCACTAGAATATGCTTCAATTGGTTCACAACACGCTGCTGTAATTCCTTTTTGGTTCAATCAAACAGCAAAATTCGGAACGCCCTAAGTCTCTACCATGTGAGTGCATGGTCAGACCATGCACTCGCCTGCTGCTTGGAGGCAGGAGCTCAGGCAATAGCAGGCCTTGAAAGGAAGGCCTTTAGCACTTCCAGCAAATATGGCCACTGCCCTGACAGCCCTCAAGGATGAGCTGCTAGGTCCCCCAGCTAGGTGCCCTTTCTCACCCAACTTTTTTGGGGGGAGGGTTTTTCTACTAAAACTAAACAAACGTCCTGAAAAAAGTTGGTACCCTGATTCTAGGCTCTCTACTGCAAGACCTAGGCTGGGTCTTGTGATTTCTACTGGCCAGTTGAGTTTGGTCCACCTCGACAGGATTCCCCCCAAGCATGGCGTCGGCGCAAGAGGTCACAGAGCTCCGAAGACATGCGCCGTGCGTCACAAATGCTCCAGGCGCTGGATGGCCGCCTGGACACATGGGTGTGGAGTGTGGGAGGCCCCCTCAACGCCCTTGGCGCCCAGACAATTCTTGGAAAAAAGGGTACCCTTCCTCCAACTAACATGGCACCTGTGGGGAGGTACCTGGAAGACTCATTTCCTTTGAAGGGAGCCCCTGTCAATTGCCATGTTAGTTGGAGGGAGGGTATTCTGACGCAATACATGCGTCTGGGCACCGCCAATGGCCAAGATGGAGACAGGCAATTCTTTCGAATAGAATTCACGGACGCCGTCGCCGAAGCGTGTCAGGCCTTCCACGAGGCACAGCCGCAAAGTGAGAGAGTTATGAGGACCCGTGCCTTTTTCTGAATTTGGTCTAAAATCATATCCCCGCCCGCCCGGTCGCCTCCAACCCCCGCCGAGGGTTTGCGCGCC